ACTTGTTCCTATGCCTGACCCAATTGATACTGCTGTATGGACGGCTGATTCTAAAGGTTGCTATACTGCTAGTTCTGCATAGAAGCTGCTCACCACTCTTAGTCCTTCTGTTTCTTGGAGTAAATTGGTATGGGGAGAGAAGCATGTTCTAAGGCACTCTTTTATTCTGTGGTTGGCATGTCAAAATAGGTTATCAACAAAGGATAGACTACTAGCATGGGGATGTCAGTAGTGTTGAATTCAAAGCCAAGCCTCAATTGATGACTTTTGCAAGCCAAAATTGAGGACTTTGAATTCTTTGGCCTAAGTTTCTAAATCCCACATCGGTTAAGTTTAACATTTGAGAGGTTGTTTGAGAACTATAAATAGCTCTCAAACAAACCAATTCAAGTACACCAAGCAAGAGCCAATAACTTGCTTTCTTCTCTCTCTTTGTAATATTTCTTCTAGTGAAATATTAAATTGTCGGTAGTGTCCGAGGACGTAGGCAAATTAGCCGAACCTCGTTAAATTCTGGTGTTCTATTTTATTGTCTATTTAGTAGCTATATTTGTAGGTATATTTGTAGTGAGTTATTGTGCAATTAAGTGCATATATAGGTGATTCTGTCTAGGAAATTGGTACTTAAGCAGGCCAGTGTGCCTCACCAAATATTTCCTGGGAATTACCATTTTGCAATTTTAGGTACAATAATTTACTCGTTATACCTTAACTTTGGTAGGGCTTCCGCAACAATTGGTATCAGAGCTCGAGGTTTCTTAGTATGCTCTGTGGTTGCAGCATGGTCTGATCTTCCACATCAGAAAAGATTTCTTGGGCTATTGTTACTCTACATTTAGGAGCTACTAAATATAATTTGTAGAGATGGCCGAAAGTAGATCTTCATCTACAATGCAAGCATCAACAAGCTCGTCATTATCTATTATGGCGAGAAATGTTATGACGAATACAAAATTAAATGTGGAGACATTTGATGGTACCGGTCATTTCGGCATGTGGCAAAGTGAGATTCTAGACGCGCTCTTTAATCAAGGTCTAGACATTGCCATCGAAAAAGAGAAACCAGAAGAGATTGAAGAGAAGGAATGGAGGACGCTAAATCGTTTAGCGTGTGGTACAATTCGATCGTGTCTTTCAAGGGAACAAAAATATGTGTTCTCAAAAGAAACCTCTGCAAATAAATTATGGACTGGATTGGAGGAGAAGTTCTTGAAGAAAAATTGTCAGAACAGGCTCAACATGAAGAAGCGTTTATTTCGCTTCACTTATGTTCCTGGCACAACTCTAAGTGATCACATCACTAATTTCAATCAGTTAATCACTGATCTGATGAATTTAGATGTGACATTTGAAGACGAAGATTTGGCTCTCATGTTGTTGGGATCTCTTCCTGAGGAGTTTGAGCATCTTGAAACAACTCTACTCCATGGGAAAGCTGAGGTGTCCCTCAGTGAAGTTAGCTCTGCCCTGTACAGCTATGAGCTCAGACGAAAAGACAAGCAAAATAGCAGAGATGGAGCAGCAGAAGCTCTGGTAACTAGAGGACGCTCACAAAACCAGAGAAAGGGGACGAGAAGAAGATCCAAGTCAAGAGCCAGACTAAGTAAAGATGAGTGTGCCTTTTGCAGAGAGAAAGGGCACTGGAAGAAGGACTGCCCAAAACTGAAGGATAGACCTGACAAAGAAAAAGCTGTTGCGGATTCAAATGTATCTGAGTGCATTGATCAAAACTCAGATTTTTCATTAGCTGTCATGCCTACTGGTCATTCTAGTACATGGCTATTGGACTCAGGTTGTAGCCATCATATGACGTCCAATAGAGAATGGTTCTTTGATTTCAAGGAAAAAGAAGGTGGAGTCGTCTACACGGCAGATGAGACCACATTAGCAACAAATGGGGTTGGTTCAATTCGGCTAAGGAATCAGGATGGATCAATTAAGATTCTAACTGATGTCCGATATGTGCCAGAATTGAAAAAGAACCTCATTTCTGTGGGAGTACTAGAATCAATGGGCTACAAGGTGTCGGCATATAATGGAGTGATGAAAATCATTTCAGGTGCATTGGTGCTGGTGAAAGGAATCCGAAAAAATAATAACTTGTATTACTATCAAGGTAATGCAGTTGTTGGAGTAGCGGCCGTGGCTTCCAGTGATGATCGAGAATTGAAAGTAACCAGATTATGGCATATGCGCTTAGGGCATGCCGGAGAAAAATCTTTGAATCTTCTGATGAATCAAGGACTATTAAAAGGAGCCAGTGTTTGCAAGTTAGATTTTTGCGAGCATTGTGTCAAAGGAAAGCAGACAAGGGTAAAATTTGGCACTGCAATTCACGATACCAAGGGTATTTTGGATTATGTGTACTCTGTGTGTGGGGACCTTCCAAAACAACTTCTTTGGGAGGCAAGAATTATTTTGTTACCTTATGGAGGCTAACCAGTCTTCCAAAGGGAAAGAAGGCAATCGGATGCAAGTGGGTATATGCAAAGAAGGAAGGATTTCCTGACAAGTCTGGTGTTCGCTACAAAGCAAGATTGGTGGCTAAAGGCTACGCTCAGAAGGAGGGAATTGATTACAACGAAGTGTTTTCTCCAGTCGTGAAACATTCCTCCATCAGAATTTTATTGGCTTTGGTAGCACAATTGGATCTGGAACTTGTCCAATTAGATGTAAAAACTGCGTTTTTACATGGTGACTTGGAAGAGGAAATCTACATGACTCAGCCAGAAGGATTCAAAGTTGCTGGTAAAGAAAAGATGGTATGCAAGCTTGACAAATCGTTGTATGGATTGAAACAGTCTCCAAGACAGTGGTATAAGCGATTTGACAAGTTTATGATGGGGCAAAGGTACACAAGAAGCAAATATGATGATTGTGTATATTTGCGCAAGCTACGAGATGGATCCTACATATATCTTCTTCTTTAGGTTGATGATATGTTGATAGCTTCCAAGGATCAAGGTGAGATTGAAAAATTGAAATCTCATTTGAGTCGGGAGTTTGAAATGAAGGATCTCGGCGAAGCCAAGAAAATTCTCGGCATGGAGATAAGTAGAGATAGAAGATTGGGGAGGCTTTATTTGACACAGAAAGAGTATCTTAGTAAAGTATTAAAGAGGTTTGGTATGAATGAAAAGACTAAACCTGTTAGTACTCCACTTGCTCCTCATTTCAAGTTTAGTGCATCGTTATCTCCAAAGAATGATGCAGAACGAGAATATATGGCAAAGGTACCGTATGCAAATGCGGTGGGTAGCTTGATGTATGCTATGGTGTGTACAAGGCCCGACATTTCACAAGCAGTTGGAGTTGTGAGCAGGTACATGCATGATCCTGGCAAGGAGCATTGGCAAGCTGTGAAATGGATTTTACGGTATATTTTGAACACCGTAGATGTTGGATTAGTATTTGAGCGGGATGAGAAGATTGGTCAAGGCGTAGTTGGATATTGTGATTCCGACTACGCAGGAGATCAAGATACACGTCGATCAACGACTGGGTATGTTTTTACACTTGCTAAGGCACCAGTCAGTTGGAGGTCTACCTTACAGTCAACAGTTGCTTTGTCTACTACAGAGGCGGAGTATATGGCAGTTACGGAAGCTGTTAAGGAAGCAATTTGGCTTCATGGATTGCTTGATGAATTGGGAATTGGACAGAAGTCTATCAAAGTTCATTGTGATAGTCAGAGTGCTATTCATTTAGCAAAGAACCAAGTTTATCATGCAAGGACGAAGCATATCGACGTACGGTATCATTTTGTGAGGAAGATTTTGGAAGATAGTACGATACTACTTCAAAAGATTCAGACCAAGGAGAATCCTGCTGATATGCTTACGAAGGTTGTGACAACTATCAAATTCCAACATTGTTTGAATTTGATAAATGTTGTGCACGACTTGAAGATTGGCGCTTGACAACGCATTTGAAGACACCACCGAATTTGAGGGAAAAAAAATTTGTATTTTTGGTGGGATTAGAAATTATGCCAAGGTGGAGATTTGTTGAATTCAAAGCCAAGCCTCAATTGATGACTTTTTCAAGCCAAAATTGAGGACTTTGAATTCTTTGGCCTAAGTTTCTAAATCCCACATCGGTTAAGTTTAACATTTGAGAGGTTGTTTGAGAACTATAAATAGCTCTCAAACAAACCAATTCAAGTACACCAAGCAAGAGCCAATAACTTGCTTTCTTCTCTCTCTTTGTAATATTTCTTCTAGTGAAATATTAAATTGTCGGTAGTGTCCGAGGACGTAGGCAAATTAGCCGAACCTCGTTAAATTCTGGTGTTCTATTTTATTGTCTATTTAGTAGCTATATTTGTAGGTATATTTGTAGTGAGTTATTGTGCAATTAAGTGCATATATAGGTGATTCTGTCTAGGAAATTGGTACTTAAGCAGGCCAGTGTGCCTCACCAAATATTTCCTGGGAATTACCATTTTTGCAATTTTAGGTACAATAATTTACTCGTTATACCTTAACTTTGGTAGGGCTTCCGCAACAAGTAGACCCTACCTCTGTTTGGTCGTGTGTACTGAGGAAATGCAAGATAAACAGAGATCCTAAAGGCTGGAGTGAGGAGCTGCAGTGGATGGTCAACCATGGCTCTCAAGTCTCAAGGGATGTTTGCTTCTTGTATGAAACGTGTAGCTTTTGTTGCTACAGTTTATGCTGTTTGGAGAAGTAGGAACCAGAAGATATTTAGTAGCCTTCAAATTTCTCCCTCTGCTGTCAGCAATCAAGTAATTAGAGAGATTCGCAGCATTGTGCTAGGATGGAGACCTATACCTAGGCTTCAGCAAAATGTGGAGGTATGATTGGAATTTGGAGTTTCCCTTGCTGCATTTGATCCCATTCTTTTGTAAATAATATAGTTTAGCAATAGAGTTGGATTACTGTTCAATCTGTGATATAAATTGGTATGGGAAGCCCCCAATCTTTGTGTAAACTCAACAGCTTATCAATAAAAGTATGAAGCGTACAAAAAAAAAGATTCAAAGTTCACACCCCAACTTAAAAATACAAGGAAGCAAGACTATGGAACTAAACCCAACCTCCCAACAGGAAGAAAATATGAGGTTCTAGATATGATCCAGCTGAGATTCCATGCAGAAACAAATACCTTCTCACCTTGTTCTTCTAGCACACATTTGGCCAAGAGATCTGTGGCCTTATTTTCATCGCAATACACTTGTTGAAAAGAAAATTTGACATTATCAAAGATATTGAAACAAAAACAATTCAAAGAGGTTATATAGTAGCTGAATGTTGCTGGCCAGAGCTAGGCAGATAGGCTTTATTAAGGCAGAACAGAGAAGAAAACATGAAGAAGATAGATGCTTCAGCGCCTCCTTTTTAAGAATTCATTCAAGGGAGCAGAAGACAAAAGCAGGTGAGCATGATATTCTGCAAAACAGGTTAAATTTCAGTTTCACGCACGATGATATTGCATTAAGAAATAGATTTAGTAGTGTAAGTAGAAATGTTTTACTAACCTGTAAAAGAAGCACTTACAGAACATCGTTAGTCAGCGATCACTTTTCTGGAGGATAAACACTGAGCTTAATTTGTGGCCTTGATTTTTGAATGTCCTTAGCAGATTTAACTAGCCACCTATTGGTACGCTCCAGGTCAATCCTTTCAAGGTTCTTCATGTGTTCAAAGTCGGATGGCATCTGCTCAAGAGATTTGATATGCTTGAGGATAAGCCATCTCAGTTCTGGGAGATCATCCGCTTTAACCTCCCAATTCTCTAGATCTGTGTCTCCAATGAACAAAACTTTGAGAGAACGAAAACCCCCTTTTTCTGTCTTCCACTCTACTCCCACAAAAGCTTTATCCTTTAACTTGAGAACCTCAAGAGACTGGAGCCCTCCGAGAATAGGCATATGATTATTCCATTCCAGACCGGTCTTATGCAGACTCAATCTTTTTAGGTTTTTTGGTAATTTATCTGGTTGAGGAAGGGCAAGTAGCTTGGACTCATCACTGTGTAACCTCAAATTTTCAAGGGAGCTTAGTCTGCAAAGACATTCAAACAAATCAGAATCACCATTGGTCTTCACTAGAGTGCCTAAACTCCCACTTATACCAAGCTTCTTGAGTTTCTTAGTCCTTTCAAACACTTCCTTCGTGAGACTATGAGACGAAATGGTGGACAAAGTTTGTAAGTATTCACTGCTGGAGGATTGATCATGACACTCCGGCAAGGATGCGGTGGTATTAGTATGTAGAAGCCTTAGCTTTGTCATCATCCAAATGTCTGCTTGTATATCTAGGGTTGGTTCAGTTGTGTGAACTATAAGGGCTTCCAAGTTACGTAAGCTAGACATGCTCTTGGGTAAGTTTTTGAGGTTGAAATTGATGGCAATGAACTTTAGGAGAACAAGGTTGGGCAGTTTGGTGGGGAAGCGGCCATGGAAGTTAATGTATATGGATGAAATATCAAACACTCGGAGTAATTTGAAGGGCTTAAATATACTTGAGCTGGGATCCTCGTTATACTTAGTTTCATCCTGACCAAAACTCAAGAATGATCGAACTTTATCAGCAGGTTGTCCTCCAAGAATATACTCTGAAAATTGAGCGTTAATGCAACAAAGTCGACGGCTGGAAGATGGATTGGTATTCTTGTGAATTGCTTGGAAAAGATCTTCTACTTTGGCCGTCTTCTTGCAGAAGTCACGCAGCGTGTCATGGATGCGACAAGTCTTTATCTTACCACTTAAAGTTCTCTTTCCCACAATCAATAAATTCCTATCAACCAACTCCCCGAAATATTGCTCTGCCATTCTCTCCAGACTTGCTGTCTCGTGTTGGGGAATAAACCCTTCAGCGATCCACAATTGTAACACTTTCCAGACTTGGATCTCCAAATTCTCAGGGAAGACACCAAGGTAGAGAAAACACGGTTTGACCTCGTGATGCAATTTATCATAGCTTAGTCTTATGTAACGATCAATCCGTTCCACTCTTTTTTTATCAACTAATGGAGGAACTTCATCAAGTACATCCTTCCACCAATTTGCATCTTTTGGATTGGCTTTAAGGATACCTCCTGTCACCACTATTGCTAGTGGTAGCCCATCACACTTTTCCAGAATCAACCTTTCAATGGGTTTCAGTTCCTCTGGACATTTATTTTCTTCAAAAACCTTCATCCTTAGTAATTCTTCAGCCTCTTCTGGCTTCATAAATCGCAATTGGTAGGGTTCACACTTTGGTGAAACATATTTGGCAACACGCACTTCTCGAGTAGTTATTATCACCCGACTACCATTGTTGTTGTCTGGGAAAGCACCCTTCAGATTGTCCCAATGTTCTCCCTCCCAAACATCATCCACCACAACCAAATACCTGTACTTTAATCCATCTCGGACCTTGTTAACTAAGTCTGCCTCTGACATGTTCTGATCCGAAATACTGATCTTCAATGACCTTAGGATACTAAGAAGCACTTCTTTCTTCTCGTATTTTTTGGTAACACTAACCAATATACGAGTAAGAAATTCATATTCAGTGTTTTGGTCAGTCAAGATCTTATTTGCAAGTGTCGTCTTTCCTAGGCCAAGCATGCCATGAATTGACACTACTTTTAGCTTCGACTCACTTTGTTGTGCTGCCTCGGATGTGCTCTGCTCCTCCGCCTCAGATTTGACAGCAAGAAGTTTCAATACGTCATCAGCTGCATCCTCAAAGCCAATGATTCTGTCTGCCTCTGGATAGCCTTCAAGCTAGTAGCATGAATACAAAGGAATTATCAGACAGTTGAATGCAAATGAAAAGATCAAACTAACCTTTAAAAACTTATGCATCTACATAACTACTGATATGGAACATTGACCCCCAGGTCCGAGGCCTGGCATGATATCTCAAGAAAAAACTACTCAAGAAATTGCTTTGGGTTCTAAATTGCAGTAGTTAATCCTAGTCTCATGTAGTACTTTTTATTATTACTACTATTATTGTTATATTCTAGTTGCATTCGAGTTGTGAGATCATGCGAGAGAAAAGAAACCTGTGGACAAGATTTCAGATGAATCTGCGCTGGATTGCATGAGGAGGCACGCTGGATCTTGAATTGGATTAGACCTAGATTTGTTATGTGCTACTGACTCAATTCAGCCCAAAATCTGGCTCTCAAGTACTGGATTTGGGGCTGGATCTTATGGCAACCAGTGTCATAATTTCATGCTAGTTTTACGTTTTCTAGAGTTATTTGTTTCCTTTTTATCTTAGACTATTGTAGCATAATTAGGGGTTTATTGACATCAGACTTTTGACAATTATATGAAATAAACTCCTTCGGCTGTTGGCTTTTACCATGTTTCTTAGGTTTGCTCAAAACTAGGAATCTTATTGAATATTGTATTTTGGGGAATGATCGTGTATCGCCCTTGAGGTTTGGAAGGAGTTCGTGTACACCTTTCCTAGATCTACACCTTCGTTCATCATTTGTTAGTACCAAAGCAAGGCATTGTGATCATACGGAACGTGTTCTTCATGAGCTTTCTGAAAAGCTTGAAATTTGTAAATCAAGTGCCTCTTTTTACATCTCTTGAAAATTTATGCATACACAACAATGTTGCAAATCAATAACTATTAAATTAAACTTAACCATAAGCAAGATATCAGGCAATATACAAAGCACGTTCTCTTATGTTAGTATTGTTAAAAGCTGGGTTAAGAAATTTGAATCAGCAATACTTCTCTGGCATCCACTGTAAAGTTCTGTAAGCTAAGAGTAAATTGGATCAGGTTCAGAATATCATACAATCTAATCCCTTTAACTATGGGTTACAGCAACTTGAAAGTACCTTGATTTCTAAATATTCTGAATTGCAGACTATGGAAGAGTAGTTTGTTCAAGACAAATCTAGAATCAACTGCCTTGCTGAAGAGGATTGAAACACTTCATTTTTTAACAAGTCTGTTATTTAACATCAAGCTAGAAATAGGATTGCGACATTAATGATCAGCATGGTAAACTTTAAACTGATTATGGAGATGTCAAAAGGAAGCTATTGAGTTTTCTAAATGCCTCTTTACTGATTCTTTTCCTTTGAATGAGTATCACCATATGCTATTACAAACTGTTGCAGCTAAAATGTTGACAGATAATCAAGTGGTTCTATTAATGGCTCCAGTTACTGAGGAAGAAATCAAGAAAACATTGTTTAGTATGAAGGAGGGTACTGGTCCAGTGTGGATGGTTAAACTGTTGATTTTTTTGTGAATAATTGGAGTCCTGTAGAAAGTAAATTTGTGGAGACTGTTCTATTTTGTTTTCAGAATCAGTATATGTAGGATCCTCTCAATTCCACCATTCTTACCTTAGTCCCTAAGGTTGAGACTCCTTTGTCTATGAAAGATTTTAGGCCTATAGCATGCTGCAATGCACTATATAAATGCTATTCAAATGTCTTAACAGAGATGTTGAAAGCTGTGTTACCAACTTTGATTAGAGCAAACCACAGTGCCATTATTAAAGATAGATCAATCACCTAGATGTGCTTTGAAGATTGACTTAATGAAGGCATATGATTCTGTCAAATGGGATTTTATTCTGAGGTGATCGAATTTATGGGGGTTTCGTGATCTTTTTAGAAGTTGGGTTTCAGAGTGCTTCACTACAGCTCAATTCTCATTAAACCTCAATTGTTCATTAGTGGGATTCTTTAAAAGTAAGAAAGAGCTTAGACAAGAGGATCCTATATCCTTTGATCTGTTTTTGCTTGTGATGAAGGTGTTTGCTGCCTTGTTGGATTTCAAAATTAAGGAATATGGTTTCGATTTTCACCCATAATGTTACAAACTGCAACTCTCCCATTTATGTTTTGCTGATGACCAGTTTATAGCTGCCCCTGATAAGTCCATGAATGTGATAAAATAGGTACTGCATAGTTTTGAAGAACTCTCTGATTTTAAGCCAAATTTGAAAAAATGTGAGGTTTTTATGACAGGTGTTTCTGAGCAAAGATGCTCGTCTATCTGCTCTTATTTGGGAATGAAAGAAGGATATCTCCCTGTGAAATACTTGGGCATTCCTCTTCTCTTTTCTCCACTAAGGGCAGTGGATTGCGATTGTTATTGAGAAACTTGCAGCCATGATTAAAAGGTGAATAACCAAAAGATTAACCTATGGACCCAAAGAGCAAGTCATGGGCCTTTGGACCATTAAGCATTTAGTGCTATTTAGGCTCTTTTGTGTTTTCAGTTTTAGGTGTCTTTTAGACTTGGGAATTATTTCCTAAGGATTTTGTACTCTCTCTTTTGTACTCTCTTTCTGTCATAGTAAATCTGCTATCTCTTCGCCCGTGGACGTAGGTCAATTGGATCGAACCACGTAAATTTTCGTGTTTCTCTGTTTGATTTATTTATTTTGTTATTGTCATTATTGAGTTGACAAGAACCCTATTGTTCTCGTTGATCAATTTCTTGGGACCAGACCTAACAGTATAATCCAGTATGGTTAGCCTACAAAGGAAGATTAGTTACAAAGACTAGACGCCTATATTGGGGGGATAATCATGGATAGTTGCTGTGTTCTATATAAACAGGTACCAGAAACTATTAATCATCTATTTTCACATGTTCGTATGCGACAAATATTTGATGAGCAAGTGCAGAATTTGAATTTGATATATAGAAATGCATATGCTTGGGATACTGAGTTGTCCTGGCTTAGCTTTCATTGCAAGGGGGACAGGTTTGTTGATCAAATTATCGAATTGTCTCTTGCAGTTTTTGTCTATCATATTCGGAGAGAGCGCAACAGGAGAGTTTTTTGCTAGTTGGGAGAAACCTGCTTTCGTCATCCTACAATCCATCATTCCTTAAGTTCAAGCATCAATAGCTTCTTGGAGAAAGATTAAACCAACAAAGCTTAATTGGTCTATTAGCATATCTAGGAATTTTGATCAGTGCACATTTCTGGCATGGGTTTTTGTTTCTTTACTCAGTATCATTTGGCATTGGCTGCAGTTGCTGTAAATAGATGAGAGTCGTCATTGGTAGTATAGTTAGTGCTGCTGGTTTGACTTGTGCCAACCTTGATGACAGATAGTTACTAAAAAGCCTTGCCAATTAAAAATCTATAAGAATCCAGATATATATATATATATATATATGTATGTATGGCTTTGATAGAATTAATTGTAAAATAAAGGCAGAATTAATTGTAAAATTGTAGTAGTAACCAATTTAAGCTTTTTGCTGCCCAAAAAAAAAAGGAACAACTAATTTATGCTGTACGTACATACCTGATTGTCTTTAGAAATCGCATTATTTCTTTTGACCCCTTCCACCAAGACAGGGACGTAGCCCCTGTTATCACTCCGCGTTTGCTCGACCCTTTTACTGAGCTCTTGGATGGTTTTCCCGATGCTCTTAAGATCACTTAGGTGTTTTAGGCTGCCAACCGCTTTACGGACGAAATTCTTTTTCTTGTACAGTGACTCTTCGACGATGTAGGTTTCAAGAACATCTTCAACTTCGTACACCCGCATCCTGATCTCCTCCGCCAGTCCCATCAGGATGTCGTCTTTGTAGTGATCTTCAGTGTACTTAACCATGAACTTATTCAAGAGATGGAGGTTTTTGGACAGATCATCGATTTTCTTGTAATTGCTGCTGATCAACTCCCGATTTTCTTTGATCAGCTGCAGCAAATATGGTATGATACTTCCTAATACAGCTCCTACAACAGCTGCTTCCATCTCTCACCAATTTTGATTTCTGTGGAAGAAAATTGGTTCTTTTGATCAATGCATATGTGGAGAGGATCTAGCGAGTTGTGAAAAGTTGACTCATATGGACAATATTTTTACTGGCTAGATTGAAGTGGACTTCATCGATCAAACCGGAGAGTGCACGGCTAAGTTGTAGTCCTCTGTCCCAGTAGCTTTGGCACTTTTGGAGAATTGTTATTTTAAGAACCACTAGTAATAAAGCACCAGTAATCGTCACCAGTAGCTTTGTCACTTTTATCATTATAATATCATAAAATATAAGGTTTCTTATGTATTAAAATTTATCTACAAAAATTATTTTAACAAATTTAATATTTTCTATTTAATTTTTTATCTTCTTTAATTAATTAACCTTAAAACAATTGTTTTAAAAAGCCCAAAAAAAAGTTCACAAAATGTTATATCTACAAATTCATATAAAATCTCTAGAGAATTTTTTACAAATGATGATACATTCGGTCGTTTTCAATTTAAAATAATGGTTTTAATGACAATTAATTAAAGAAGATGAAAAATTAACATTTAAAAAAATAAAGATTTGATAAAAATATCAATATTTTTAATGATATGTATAATATTTATACTTCTAATTACTCCATTCTTTCCCATGACAAACAAATTTTGATAATACCACTAAATTGTATGATTTTTTATTAGATATATGAACAATTTTTATTTTTCTTTTAGAGTTGGATGACTTAAATTTGTATGCTAAGCAAAAGTTAATTATTTGCCAATCACTAAGGTTGGCTCAATGACCAGGGTAGGGTTTTTAGAGTTATTTCTAATTCAGAATTTGAATCCTGTGTATGATAGTTAGGAATGGCAAGGGTGTGGGGAGGGGTAGGAGGGCAAAAAATAAAATAAAAATAATTGTTTGTTTAAATATTGGTTGCATGCTTTACCTTTTTTTTTTTTTGGCTAACCCCGCTCTCGGGGAGGGACGCCATCCCCACTTTTATTCATAACAAACTGAGATACAAGACCCAGGAAGAGCAAGTTTAAGACTTAGAATTGATGCACCTTCCTAACAGAAGGCACCTTCATGCTATCTAGGTGAAGACTCCCACGAACCAAACGCGGCCAATCACTTCAATGCTCATACATTTTGATAGCCTGGTTAGGATGCGCAACTCCAACATTAGCCAGAATATCCACAACCTGGTTGGCCTCCCTGAAACAGTGGGAGAAACGAGACGGATCATCAATGAACTTCCATATGTGCTGGACCTCCCTCCAGATCCGCCACGGGCAGTGTAACCGATGTTGGAGAATCCCTACCAAAAGCAGGGAGTCTACCTGAGCGCTAATATTTGTAATCCTCCTCTGAACACATATCCTAAGGCCCGTCAACAGAGCCAATGCCTCTGCCTGGATACTAGTCGCCTCTCCAAAGAATGCTGAAAAACCCACCAATGGCTGTCCGGCCACAACCCGAACAACTCCACCACCACCACAGTTCCCAGGATTTCCCTTGGAGCAACCATCGGTGTTCAAAGTGAACTCCCCCCCTTCAACAGATTTCCAGCATGTAATCCCCCCTTCAACCATCGGTGTTGCATGCTTTACCATTATTAGTTTTCATGTTATGTAAGTCAAATTTGAAATTCTCAATATGAAGTTCTATGCACTGTTTTTTAAAAAGTGAAGTGATGTATATTCTTTGAAATTGAAATCTTTGTATTTTTTTATGTTATTTCTGTTAACAATAGAGTCTAAATGATTCACCACATATAAATTTTGTCCATGTAACTGTTCCATTTTCTAGAATTGAGATTTCATTGGCAGAGTTAATTGAGTTTTTTTAATTTTCTTTTATTTTTATTTTTTGGACAAAATCTAACCTAAAGGACAAACAATAAAGATTTTATTGTTCTAAGAGCACCTTGTTTTGGTATCAATAATAATATTTTTGAAGATTTAAAAATTTAATTAGGCTATAACTAATCAATAATTTTTAATTGAAATAAAAAACTCAAAATAGAATGCAAAACAAAACACATTGGTTTGGAGTGTTATTTTTTTTGTTGTTTTCATAATTCAAATTTAATTAAGATTACAATTTTTTTCCTTGCTACTACAATTATTGTTATTATTAAAATACAATAAATCTAATTATTAGGGAGAATGTTATTTTGGACAAATAAAAAACTAAAATCAAATCATATTTAGTCTCTAATGTTTAACATTCTATCTTGTCATCAACTATTATTTTCTTCTAAATCAGTAGATATGATATAATGAATTTTAATCATCATAATAAATTAAAAAGAGTATAATGTGAAACTTCAATTATTAATTAATAAGTGTATAATTGAAATAATAAAAACTAAAATCACAAGAATACTTACACTTACACTCTAAAATACCAAGACACATGGTACTTTTTATATAGTAATGATAATGATTGGGCCTTGGTTTAATGATCACCGAGAGCCTCTTTAAAGCTCTCCTGATATTAGCGGTTCAAATCCCGTCTAATGCATCACACTAGAAGTACTATGCTTCTTGTTTTTTAAAAATTCAGAAAGTGCAGTAGTGCGCTTGTCTGATTTGATAATTCACCTCCCAATCCTCATACAACCCTATTTAGACTCCCTCTTCCTCATATGAGTAGAAGTAGGCTAGATAGGATTTGGTGGTTCACCTCCCAATCCTTATACAAAGCCTCTTTAGACTCCTTCTTCTCCATAGAGTAGGAATAGGTTAGATAGCTGATGTTGTAGGGAAAAAAAAGGATAGTCTCCCTCTTATTTTTAGGATTACTATCAGAAACCTCCCTTATGATTTCTGCTAATATCACTTAGCACCCTATAGATCTGAAAAATATCATGTTCCTCCCTTGAAGTGACACACTTTTGAAACTTGTCAGCCCTTTTGAGCAAATGTAACAATATAAAGATGGAACAGAGGAGAGATGATAAGTTTTTTCCAGAAAGTCATGAATTTTCTTCTTACTTATGATATTTGCTATTGAGAGATGTTGGTATATTAAATTAAGATTAAAATATAAAATTTTTATGTTATTATTTAGTAGTAGTATTTTGGTCAAGACAAATTTTAAATAATTTATTGGAGTCAAATTGTAGTTGTTTTAATATTTAAGAATTGATATTGTGTTATGTAATTTATTGTGATAGCCAAGACTTATTTACCAAATCATCTAAGCTATGTACAAATCTTATTATAGTCGTAAGTTGAGAACGGTGAGAGTGAAAGTTTGATAGACTTTTATCCCTCTTCTCTCATACATATTCATATATATATATATATATATATATATATATATATATATATATATATATATATATATATATATATATTGCTTCTCCATATATATTGATTTTATGAAATTTATCTCCTATAATTTTTTGATGACACTTTGGACTCTACATCTAGTATTAGAGCCATAGGTTTGAAAAATTGATTTCGAGGTTTCTATAAACATTGAAGAATTGTCCAACTACGAGATTAATCTTGGATAGTTTCCACTGTCAAAACTAGCACTTCCATAAGAAGTAATGTGAAGAAGCCTCTTGATCGAGTTAGACAATAAAGTTGGTCCTGAAGTATCTAGTCAATCAAGATTGGATCATAAGATTGATCCGGAAATTATTATAAAGATAGACATTGATGAAAAATCCTGTTGTTGAATTGTGATTATTAAAATCATAGAATGGTGAGTTATGAACGAATTAACATCAAATTATACGACAAAAATAGTCTATCTAGATGTATGGATTATTTTAACGATAAAAGTGTTTGAAGTTGAAGCAGAAAGTGATACTGCCGGAATTTGCAAGAAAAGATTATTGTTCATGATTGTGTTGAAGAGTGCCTAATTTAAGAGAACCAATATTAGCATATTAATTAAGTTTACAAAATAAAGTTTCTATGTTATTATTCAGTAGTAATATTTTAGTCAAGTCAAGTTTTTAATAAATAGGTTTATTGGAGTCAAATTATGGTAGTTTTATTAGCTAAGAACTGATATCGTGTTATTATACTTGATGAGATTTGTTTATCAAGTCATCTAGTTTACAAATAGCGAGTTTTATTATTGTTATTTTTTGAGAAGAGTGAGGAGTGAAAGTTTGATTGATTTGTTCTTCGGTGTTATTGATATTATATTTTTGATTTGTTCTTCTATTCCCACACATATTTTTATATGTATAAATTATTTTCCCATATATATCAATTTTATGAAATTTATCTCTTATAACTTTGTGTCGGAATTTTTGGGTTCTACAAAGGCATTCTTTTCTCTGAATTCATATCCCAGTATGCACCAGGCAAAGCCAAGAGCAAATTGATTACCGCATTACTGTTTGAAAATTTCCTGGTTGCATGCACTCACTATAGTTGGCTGTCTATTGTTCCCGTCAATACGCAGACAAGTACAAAAGGCAATTACGGGTTGAATAAATGATTTTGACACGTCATAACACCGTTCCTAAGATGTTATTTATTCTCACTACTCGTGACATTGTCATATGCAAAACCTCTCTACTATAAGGATTTGAATCTTAGACAACTGCCCTGGATCCTTTAGCTAAACTTGACTTAAGGCTCATGCAAGTCATTTTCTGATATTGAGTGTGTTTGGATAGAGTATTATTTGAAATAATTATTATATTACCTTTTGTGATATGATGTATATGAGATAAAAAGATAGTTGGTAATATAAAAAGATGAGTTGAAAAATGTATTCTTGATGCAAGCGAAATATTATTTGAAAAATTTTAGCTATCCAATATTTCCTACACCTGCTGCCAATTAGGTAGTAGATTAAGACTAAACAAAGAAACTTTTACTTAATTATTACCCCATAGCTTATTATTACATTAAGCCGGCCTTCCTGCAGTAGCATACTTAGTACTAGCATATACCATGCAAGTGTGCAATTAGCACGAGTGACATGAGGTATTTTAAGGGTTTTTCCAAAGAACTAACTGAAGCCTGTAAAT